CGGCTAGATTCAACGCTGCAAGACAATCAAAAAGTGCTAGGTTCGTGTCAACATCGCTAGTGTATGCGTCTCTGATCTCTAGGTGGTGACGTCAGAACATCTGGCGTCCCGACGCTCTTTTTTATTTTTGTTTTATTTTTACTTTGAAACGCGTGAAACTGCGTCTCTCGGCTTATATACTAAGCTTTGACCCACTGACCTCCACTATTCGCGACTCCAGCGACCTATAGGGGGCGCCACCACCAAACAAACATGGCGGCTGAGTCCAGGTCGCGTCGTCTCGGCCGGGCCGCCTGAACAGGTGGCCCGTTCAATTTAACAGATTTTCTTTTGTTTAATGCCCAATTTTATAGCTATTTGAACTGAGACGGTTAAGTGTAGCCGGTGCAGATAAACTTGCAAAGCATAGTTTTGTTTTGCCGGTGTTTTTCGTTCTTTTCATGTCAAACTTTCGTTTCGGAGATTTCGCTCAATACCGAAACAATGGGCTCCGGAGAGACGGCAATATACTACTCAGTTTTGATCATTTAAGGAAAGCGGCGATGGCTACAGAATTGTTCCACAGAGAGTAACTTTTCAGCTAACTCGCTTGCCTCGGCCATGCGACTTATCTGTCCGCGAAATCGAGCTTTTGCGCGTATCCGCGTTTAAGAAACAGCTCCAGTCGTCTGCTCGGCAAAAACACAGCCAGAAGGAAAATTACGAAAATTAAGCAAGCGCTTCTTGAGCCAAGGACCATCTTAACCCGCCGGCGCCCCACTAAGCAGCTGATACTCTTATTTTAATTCAGGTTTTAGTAGCAATCGAGAAGTCATTTTGACGAGCGTGTTATGTATTATATTACGTACTAAGGGGGGGGGGGGGGGTCCCACTAAAGCGATATTAGTATATTCTTCTGGTTGAAATATGAGCTTAGTTGACTAGCTATTAGGTGAGCTGCTGAATAAAAGTATATTTGACAGACAGAGAGATACTACTTAAACTTAGCCAAATGGTTCTATAGCCGGCAGCACGGGGACCAAGCGAAGAGTCTTCATCGAAGATTCACGCAGAACCTTTCTGCATTGAACTTTGCTTCGAATCCTGAACGGAGAAAATGAGTATTTTTTTTTTGGGGGGGGGGGGGGGGGGGGGCGGTCAACCTGGCCAATGTAGACGCATATTGTAGCTGGCTTCGACGTCCTCGTAATATAAATGGGGACGCGATAGGTCAAAATGCCGTGACAGCATCTAGACTCGTCCCCCACCTTTTGAAAACAGATAATTTCCCTCATTCATTATTTGCAGCGAGCAGGTTTTCCTGAATCAAGTAATTGCGAAATCAGCCCAACTCCTTCGGTGTGGTCCAGAGGCTTTTTCGGCGAAAAGTAGCCAAGATGAATAGCCAATGCACCGACCGACGTGAGTGGCTCAAACTTGAAGCTAACCGAACACAACCAAACTCAAGAAAAGTAGCTTTCGAACCTTCCCATTCACTTTACTGCAACATTGATGTTCCCTCCAGCGAAATGCCTCGTCTGTCGTCCTCAGACCACTGTCCTACATCCTTATAAAGAAACCACTTATCAGTTACCAAGTAGTCGTAATTTTGAATGTGATTCGAGACAGACAAGAAATCAAAACGTTTTTCCGCGATTCCTTCCCATCTAAGAGATCGAAAGCACGCGACCGTGTGTTGTCGAGTAAACGGGCTTTTAAACACGTAATAGAAGAAAACTATTTACTGAGGCTTCACCACACTAATTATCACTCAGGCAAACTTAAGAAATATTCGGACATTCGTCAAATTACACTGTTCGCCACCGCGCCGACAACACGTCTCCGCGGTAGCCACCAGAGACGCGGAGGGGTGCGGAGCGACCTGGACCGGCTGGTTCCCGGTTTCCCCGCTTGGTGGCGTCCGTTTTGCTGGAGTCGCGAATACTTCGTTTCACCTAATGCTGTACCGCAGCGAAGGCTAGAAGCGCGAGCTCATAGCGTTGGCAGCTGCTCTTAAGTCACGGGAGCTTGTGCCGCCGAGATGTACCCGAGAGCAAGGAGCTCGCGCTAGTAGCCTTCCCGCGGTACAACACGAGGTGAAACAGAGTATAGTGATTGCCAGCCATGTCTTGCACAATAGTCACGCTTGATCAAGGCGACAAAGTTGGAATGAGCGTGTACAATCATAAGCGTTGCCTTGGAGAATATAAAGGCTTAAAAATGAGACAGCAACGCATTTAGAAGCTTGTTTGATCGAAAAACTGACGGGAAGGGGGACATGATAAGAAACACGGTAATAACTCATAAAATTCTTTTTAGTTTGCAGCTATCCTGCGAAACAGAGTTGGGATTTATTCTGGCCGATACGACGGTATCCTGCGTTGACACGCTTGACACATATCGTGCGCAGCAACAGGCCGGAGTGTGGAACAACCAGCCTTGCCATTGAAGTGCCCAAATAGAAAGAGATTTGGAGACAAATACGCAGCCTCCTGACGGAAATTCTGCGCCGATGCGTTCAACGAAATTACCGAAAGCTTTGCGGCAAAGCTTTTTGATGATGTGGTTGGTAATTATAAAAGAATATTGGCCGACCACGTTTAAAAATTAAACAAAAGACGCTTAATTCGGTGTTACATAGAAGTGTGTATCTAATTAAATGTCACCTAGACCATCCGAGAATAAATAGCTCTGCATCTTATTCAGCCTACATCCTAATGCTCCGCAAGCGATAAGCATGTTTAGGAACATAAGTGCCAAAATAGCAAAATTTTGGCTTTGGATCGTGGATGAAAGTGGATTTTGGAGTTTAAAACAGGGTTGCCAGACGCAAATCTCAAAAGATCACGCGTGATCGCCGGGAAACCGCCAACCGCCTCTCGCCAACCGCCAACCGCCTCTCGGTGTGTCTGAACGGGGTCGCTCGCGAACCACATCTTCAACCGCTTCGCGAACGCGGATCCGCTTCCAGTGTGAATGCGCCATTAGGGCGAATCCCCCCCCCCCCCCCCCCCCCCCCCGGTAAATGATCGTTAGCGGCTCAATGACAGTTGGCGCCGCCGTGAAACTCCGGCCGCTTGCGATTGAGTCACCTGTCCTTGACTCAGTGGCAGTTGACAGCGCTCGTGTAACTTGGGGTAGTTATACAAACAAACGCTGGAAGTGGTCTGTAAAAAAAAAAAAAGAAGAAGAAAAAACGGTTTGCGCAGACAGTTGTTGCTCAAGCAGTTTTGCGCGATTGGTTCTGTCCGAGTTGGCCGAATCCGCGGACATGGCACGGACCTCACTGCGGCAGGAAAAAGCGGCGACTGAACGGGGTTAAAATCTCGATAACCGTGGTACGACAGGTAGGCGGACCTATTTTATGACGTTTGCCCACGTGATACAAAACATTCAACAGGTCCGCGGACACGTCCCCGGACACGATCCTGTGGTCCGCGGACCAGCTTTTGAGTTTTGCACGCTTTCTTCGCCTGGAACATGGCGAAATGCGAACCGCAACAAAAGGTGACGTCTCCGGTTCCGTAGGAACATGTCCCGAAACATGTCCGCGCGTTGTGATTACATCCGTAAAAACAGGTGAAACGGTTTTTTCTCTGTTTGTCCCAAAGAGTCCCATGTATCAGCTGGTGTCAAGTGTTGACTGCTGGTGGCACCACTCGACCCCAGCAAGACAACCCTCGATCTGCCATTCCGCCTACAAAGATGGAGAGCAGTGGTGAAGGCAAAGGCTGTATTTGTCTCCTCTGCACTGGTCGTACGCGTTCGAATGTGAAATCCAAACGCCGGGTGCCGGCGCTCCGCGTTCTAACGCTCCTCCTCTCCCTCAGTTTCTTAACGTGTAGTTTTTATTCTTTTCAAATGAAATGGTCGAATAATTTGTTAGTAACAGCGCGTGTTGTGTTCTGAAAACAACACGCTGTTACTGATAAATGAGCCCTGCACGCTTCGTAATCATGCGAAGAAGAAAAAGCAAAGAAAAAAAAAAAAAAAAAAAAAACCCCGTAAAGGCCGTATCCTGGGAACTAGGTGGCGGTGCTAGCCGCGGTGTTTTCCGGCACATCGCGCATTGGCATCTTGCAAGAAGGACTCCTACCATTGAGGGGGGGGGGGGGGGGGGGGGGGAGGAGGTCCGGACTCCGCAGCGCGCCGAAGCTCGTAACTCGTGGAGGTAAAGCTGGCGCTGTAGAACCCAGGGATCCAGAGTTCGAATCCCCAACCCTGTACGTTTCGATCTGCATCGTACCGTCGCGCGGTCGTGCGTCACTACCGCGTAATGCACGTTAAAGTCCCCAAACTAGCACTCGCGCTGCGCTGGCTAAACTTCTCACGTACAGCATAAACTAGAATCGCCGCACCTGAAAGGCAGACCGATCATAGCACTGTCTAAACACGAACGTCAGATTTATTTTTTTTATATAACATTGAGTATGCTCCCTGCTCAAATTAGCGGAAATCATATTTTTTTATAAATGTATCGGGGAAGTGTCACGTGATAACTTGACATTACACCGTGCCGTCATAAAGCCACGTGAAGTCATTATGTCACGTGACGTCACGGTGTCACGTGACAAATCAAAGTGCCACGTAACGCTATAGTATCACGTGCCGTGAAATCGCGATGTGACGTCATGATTTCTTGCGATATCATGATGTCACGCGTCCCGACCCTCCCATTGAGCTCCTCACGTGGGTAAATAGAATGCTCGTGTGGAAACTCGTACCGTCCTTATGGCTGAGATGAGGATCAGGAACTATACCTCAATCAGGCAGCTGGAAGGCTTGCTTCCGTAGTTCATTCAGTTACCTGGGATCCAGCGTAATTTAATCATAACGACGGTTGCTTACGTTTAGGTACCGAAATTGTAGTCTGTTGCGTCTCAAGTGACGAACGAACGTTTATTGCCAGGAGCAAGATAATATATACAGAACATGTGAGCAGTGAAAGAGATAAGAAAAGAGTAGCGGCTGATAACATGAGGGCAGAATCATGACTCGCGTTACATCTTCCTTTTTCTTCTTTAAAAAAAATATTTTCGAATTAAACATAATTGAAACACATAAGCACTTTTGTTGTCCGGGTGCTTACTACAGATATTAAAGACACCTAAATGCTTGTTAATGTTCTGGCTCCGGGTATCTTGCGGGACATTTCCTTGGTCGCTCACTACGGCGCAATTCCACCGTCTGAGTCTCGGGTAAAGTTGGTGGTGTGGTGTGCGTGTCGGCATGAGGACCTGGCTTGTGCTTCTCGGGTGTTCTCTCGTGCGGCGAAGTTCCCGTCCGTCTTGATCCTGGACAATGTAGGACCGAAGGGCACCCGCTGCTACAATGACTGCTGTTGGAGCCCACGTCTTGGCCAAGGTGTCGTACATGGTCACCTGGTCGCCATCGTATAGATTGGGAAGAGACCTGGCGGTGCGGTTGTTATACGTCCGCTGTTTCTCCCGGATGTGCCGTAGACGTCTTTGGACAACTTGCGGTCGAGCGATGCTCGGCTCCAGGTGACTCGGGAGTACTGGTAGAAGGGTCCTAGTCTGACGTCCCATCAGACGATGCACAGGTGACTTGAAATAATCATCCCTGGGAGTATTGCGCCACTCCAGTAACGCGGTGTAGTATTCGACACCACCATATGCATATTTTCTCAGGAGCTTCTCTGCCTCTTGCACCGCGCGCTCCACCATTCCGTTTGCGCGCGGATGGTAAGGACTGGATTTGACGTGCGTGGTGCCCATCTTACGGAGGTAGTCCTTGAACTGTTGGCTGTTGAATGGCGAACCACTGTCACTGTACAGCGTCTTTGGCATTCCGTGTGTCGCAAAGATGTCTGCGCGGACCGTGATGACTCTGCTTGCAGTCGAGCGGTCGAGGGCTCTCACTTCGAAAAAGAAGAAGTAAAAGCGAACCTCAACAATAAATTCTCTGTCATTGTGGCAGCACAAATCGATTCCGATGGTCTGCCAGGATAATTTCGGTATGTCATGGCTAAGTAGTGGCAACTTCAGATTCTTAGGTTTATACTTTTGACACTCGGCACAATTCTTTACCATTTGCTCAATGTCGCTTCCCATGTTGGGCCAAGAAATCACGACCTTTGCTCTTGACGTCATTTTTCCGACGCCCCCATGCGCGGAGTGCAGCACAGAAAGTATTTACCTCTGTTGCCTTGCGGGGATGACGAGCCTGTTGCTGCGAAACACGAGTCCGTCCTGGACGTACAGTGCTAATCACACTTGTCTATAACGCGCGAGCGTGCGGCTTTCTCCGGGGAGCGCTAGACTGGTGGCATTCGCGGAACCTAAGCTAGTCACGCGGCGCAACATGGAACGGCCCGCTCAAGGGGTGTCCTGCCCACTCTATCAGCTTGATAAGCGACAAAAGTAAAGTGCTTTATGATATAATTTTGTGTTTTGATGACGACATCGTTGATACGCCTTCATGCTTTAGTTTGTTTATTGTTAGAGCAATGATGTTTGCAAACAGCGTGCGAGCAGCCTTCCGCGTTCGCCGCCAGCTGATAGAGTGGGCAGGACACCCCTCGAGCGGGCCGTTCCATGTTGCACCACGTGACTAGCTTAGTTTCCGCGAATGCCACCAGTCTTGCGCTCCCCGGAGAAAGCCGCACGCTCGCGCGTTATAGACAAGTGTGATTAGCACTGTACATTTCATCGCGGTAGTTCCAGTAGGTTCGGATTTCGGCTGGAATCTCACTTTTGGTTTCGGGCCAAGCATCACCTGAGTACTTCCGGAGCTTCGTCATGCTGGGGTCCCGGTTGATTTCTTACAGGACATCGTTCAGACGTTTGTCTGAAACAGGCAAGCATTCGATTACGTTCACATAAAAATGTCCTGCTTTTTCTCGCAAGGGTGCTTCGTTTGGAAACCTCGACAGGGCGTCTGCTAAAACATTTCTTTTCCTGGCTTGTACTTGATCGTGATTGCATACTTTTTAAAATTTAGTCGCATGCGTTGCAACCGCGACGGGCACTGGCACAGCGGTTTTTTGAATATCATTTCCAACGGCTTGTGGTCAGATTCAACGATCACCTCGGACTGGCCGAAAATGTAATGTTGGAACTTTTCGCACCCAAAGACAATGGCGAGTATTACTTTTTCAATTTGGGCATACTTTTGCTGAGTTTCAGTTAGCGAACGTGACGAATATGCTAGCGGATGCCCATCCTGAATGATTACAGCTCCGACGCCCGTCTGGCTTGCGTCAACCGAAAGTGTAATCGGCCTGTTTTTCCGATAATAGGACAACACAGGGGTTTTGGTCAGGACCTCACGCAAGGCCTCGAAGCTACTTTGTTGTCGTTCATCCCACACCCAGGCAACTTCTTTTTTCAGCAGCTCCCTCAACGGCGCTGTGATTGCTGACATGTTAGGCACGAACCGAGCTACAAAGTTGATCATGTCAAGGAATACTTGGAGTTCCTTACGGTTCTTCGGTTCCTTCACTTCCAAGATGTCCTGAAGTCTTCCTCAATCCAAGGCCAGTCCCTCGTTAGTCACGATGTGACCCAAGTAGCGGACACTTTGCTGTAAAAAGTGGCATTTTTTTCTTGTTTAAGTGTAAGTTGTAGCTTCGGCACCTTTCCAGCACGCTCTTCAAATTTTCGTCATGCTCAGTTCTGGTTCGTCCCCATCCATTACAACTGAGACCCCCTTCTAGCCCTTGCAATACTCGGTGCATGGCTCGTTGAAATATCTCAGGAGCTCTTGGGATTCCGAATGAAATTCTTAGGAATCTACACCTCCCATACGGGGTGGGGTGCTCAGGGTGCAAATGTTCGAGCTTTCGTCTGCTAGCTTAATTTGCCAGTAACCGGAAGCAGCGTCTAGCGTGGAGAAATATTTTTCACCACTCAGACTTGGAGCGATATCTTCCAAGGTTGGCATTTGATAGTGTTCCCTCAATAGAACTTTGTTTAAGTCTTACGGATCAAAACATATTCTAACTTTGTCTTGATAACTACAACCATGTAGCTTGCCCATTCTGTTGGTTCAGTTACCTTTTCGATGACTTGGTTTGCTTCTATGCGGTCCAGTTCAGCTTTCACCTTTTCCTGCAGCATAACCGCAACACGTCTGGCCAGTTTCACTGAACCTTGGGCACCCGGCTTGAGCTTAAGAAGGTAGACGACGTCTTTAAGTCACCTTAAACCTTGAAAAAACATCACGGTAAGGTTCAGCCGCTTCATATAGTTGCTCTTCGGGTAGCCACACGAAGAACGTAACCCAAACTTTCGTAGACAGCACCACTGAGCGTGGTTGTGACGATGTCGACCGTGATTGTCCTTTTACTTTCTTCCGCAATTGTGTTCATTGACAAGGATTCTGACCAGAAATCATCTGAATCTTCGGTCGTTATCTGGCGCACCTTGTAGCTCGCTTTATTCTTCGCTTGCATGTTTCCTTTGCTTTTACATATACTCTGGCAAAATGGTTTGGCTTGCCGGAGTTCATGCAGTTTTTCCCTAGCGCTGGGCATCGATCATTACGGTGCTGGAAGGCACATTTCGGACAAAGTTGTTCCTTGGTCTTCACCAAGGAGCTCATTTCCTGCGGTTTTGATGACCCTTGAATCTCTTGGCACTGTTCTTTACCGTGCTCGCGAGCTTTGCAAATCTCAACTGTCTTGCAGTAGATCGGATTTCCCGAGGTAAGTTTTTCCTTGTAACTTCAAGTCTCGAACTCCCAGTATTATCCTGCTGCGGAGCATCCTCTCTTCAAGCTCTCCAAACTCGCATCGCTTGGCTAGTACTCTTAGGTCTGTTAGCTACACGCTGAAAGTCTCCCCTTCCTTCTGGTTTCTCGTTTCGAAGCGAAATTCGTGATATGCTAAGTTAGATGCTGGTCGAAAAAACTTTTCGAAACTGGCTATCAGGAGACCGATGTCGTACCTCACTTCTTCGTCGTCGAAGGAAAACGTGCTGTAGGTTCTACGCGCGCTTCTTGACCTATCGTCGTAAGCAGTGTCGTTACTTGTACCTCTTTGGGCTGCGATGTAAGGCGGGTCGCGGTAGCGGAGAGTTCAAACTCACTTTTCCAGATCTGCCAACTCTGCCAGGCATCTTCGGACATGTCCAAGGGATTGGGCGGAGGCAATAGCGACGTCATAAATCCGTGCGATGCTGCGGAGTCGGATGCGTTGACGCTCGACGTGGCCATGGGCGGATCCGTTTCAGCAGTAAGCGGCGTTTTTGCCGACAACAGCGAGAGCGCGCACGACGGATCGCTGTCGCGACGCTTCTGACACCATGTAGTCTGTTGCGTGTCAAGTGACGAACGAACGTTTATTGTCAGGAGCAAGATAATATATACAGACCATGTGAGCAGTGGACCAGATAAGAAAAGAGTAGCGGCTGATAACATGAGGGCACAATCATGACTCGCGTTACAGAAATGACAAACTTCGTCTCAAAAGGTGAGTGCCTTTCAACATAATCGTTGTAATAATAAAGGCTTCAGTTACCGCGGCACCATCTACTATGAGAAACACGAGTGTTTAGAAAACTTCGCGGGAAAAATATCCAGTGTGAACTCCTCACACCATTCCATATCTTCCCATTCCCCATGAGGCATGATCCAGTGTGCCATGCTAATTATCGCAGACTGTTAAGGAAGACGGTCTCTCTCGATTAAAACGAAAATCCGATCATGTTTATATTTCTTTTTTCTTAAAAGCTGGTCTCAGTTTAGCTTCAGCGCCGGCACGTCCTTTATGCGGAGGATTTAATCGAAGATCAAGGATCGACGACGCTCGAATCCTCGCTCCTCGAGTTCAGGGTCGCGAGCCCTAAGGTTCATCGACGTCTTTGCCAGCCCTCGCCCGATACATCGTCTCTTTACCGCCGCCGCCGCCGGGGAGCATCCCGAGCGATACGCTTCCAAATAATGAATTATTGTTGCGGACACTGGCGCGCAACCGCGGCTAAGAAATAATCTCCACGAGGCCCTCCACTTTCTCTTCGAGTAGTCCAGGAAAAAGAATAGAGCGTGTAATCGTGCTCGTTTCATCGCAACAGAGAAGAAGAAACCAGGAGAGAAGAGAGGGAGAAGAGGAAAGGAGGCCAAAGTGGAAGCTTCTTCCCCGGTCGGTTTGGAGAAAACACGTACAGTCTGTGTCCGGTGGTCGAGTATGACAGATGCGTGCCGTCAACCGTTGCTCCAGCGGTTCTCCATCATCACCGGACGCGACGGCCCAGCAACCTGGCCACGCTGTCTCCTCTCTTTCCCCCACCGTGCGAGCACCGAGTCTGCGACCGCGTCTCCGTGTCTCCGCGCAGCGGTGAGCGAAAAACCCTCCGAACCCCGTCACCTCTTAGGATTGCAATTGAATCCCATTAGTGCGAGAGGAGAAGTGGTTCGGAGAGGGACGAGAAGAAGTGAAGAAACAAAGAAGCACTTGTTATGGCTGTGTTCGTGGTATACGAGCTGAACCCGAGACGTGTACCTGCTGGAAATTGTGAGGGAACCTTCTTGGCGGTGCGTGCAGCATTAGCCTTGGCGGAGAGTTGGCCGCGGGCTTGGGAATCGGTACTCTCGGAGGTGCTCCGCAAGGACTGGGGGGACAAAAGGAGAGAGGGAGAGACAGACGAAGAGGGGAGAGGAAAGAGCCCCTACTATTGTCTTAATCGTTTTTGTCATGCATAGACATTCCGTTGCGTCCTGTCTTCCGCTGGCACTGCCGATGGGGGAAAAAAAATGGCCAAGGCAGTTGGCGTGTTGCGGGGGACGTGGGATGGGCCGGCCCTGGTCAGAAGCGTACGAGTACACGGTTGTGTCGGACGGAAGAGCGTTTTCTGGTCGGTCTTCTTCGTGCGTCGTCTCTTTTTCTCGCGTGCGATAGTCGGTCGTCTCGTCGAGACTGAAGGGTGGCATCGGGCCCTCGTCGGCCGTTTGGCGCGAGTTTTGCGTGCTCGCGTCCATCTTTCCGCTGACGTGTTCGGCGGTCCGGCCCTTGCTTGTCGACGAGTCTCCGTGCTGCGCTCGCCCGTCTCTTCCCGTGTTTCGGCGACACGTAATGATTAAGAGTTGCGTGAACTCTGCCGCGCTCCATACAATA